AGTCTTAGAACATTTTTTCAAGTCAAGTCTAAAGTCATAAAATTAATGACTCGAGTCTGACTCGAGTCCAAGTCATGTGACTCGAGTCCACACCTCTGCTTAAGAACATATGATGAGCTCAGTGCACTGATATGACCTGACAGTGTGAAACTAAAGCCTTTTTTAAAGTATGCAGCAGGCTGAAAAGCCCGTCTATTTGAATTAGATATAATCTTCATAGCCTGCGACACGTTTCTTACATGTTACGATGAATCTGACTGAAGTGATCACTACAGAAGAGTTGTGTCAGAAACAGCTGAGCCAACAAAGGCACAAGTGGAGTGTTGGACCCACTCTCAGTGACAGTAAATGCATTTCTCTGCCGATCTCGGAAATCTTATCGGTTTTTAAACTAAACTGCTAACTGAGGTGAGCTTATTGTAAAGCAGATATTGATTAGCAGATGATCAATAGTCTGAACAGCCTGAGTCAAAAACAGAGAAAACTGCTGTTCTGGCAAAATTTAAAAAAAAAAAAATATTAAATTTGAATGCAGTTGATCAGAGTAATCGCATCACTAACCAGCCGACTTCTGAGTGATGTTTGTGTTTGTCTCGTTGGTGCCACCTTTGCCCGATGTTTCTCCACACTGGCTCAAACTTACGGGCTCTGCAGTTTGAGGTTCACGTTGGAATGAGTCTGTAGAAATAAACAAGTTCATGCTTCAGTGTTTTTCATAAATGCATTTAACTTCCAACTTTTCCACCAAAAACAAGCCAGCCTATCACACCTTTCTTAAAGGTTCCCATTCAAATACGTTTCCACTCCTTGACTTCGCTTACCTGTAGGACCCCTTTCAGTTGACCTTTGAGTATCACTCAAATGTGTTGTTTGCACAGCTGGCCCAGGTGTTGGTGCGTCACGGCTGTTGGGGCCGCTCTGGTCCACGGTTTCTCCACACTTGCTACAGGTACTGGGACTCAGAACTGTGGTGTACGGTCCACAGCGATCTGAGTCAAACACACAAAAAACACACAACTTTATGTTTCTGTCCTTTTACAGACTGATCATATTGTCACATTATTTTTAACTTACAGTATGTAGGTTCAAATTTAACTGTGTATAACCTTAATAGCATAACCACCAGTCAGTCTAACTCTATTGTCGTACCACCTTTCATGATGGTACGACAGGACAGATGGAAACTGTTGTTTCCCTTTATGAACAAATCAGATAATTACTCAAAACTTAAATAACTGGTTTAGATTTTAGTCTTATTTAGCATTTACCCTTTATTAGTCACAGTACAAACAGGAAGTATGAGGAAGACTGACACACTTAAATGATGCCTGGGAGCTGAATTTGCTTTCATTCTCTCTCAGTAAATGTGTTTATCGCTTATGTGAATGACTATTTACACTCCAAACTAAATGGTTTTGGGTGTCACTGTGGTTTAGGTTTCCATCTAACAAGCAGAGACAGATTCTGGAAATATCCACTGTCCTGTCTGTGAAAAAATAAAAAACAAACAAACAACAAATAAACAAAAAAAACTAGAAAATAAGAACATTTATGGTTCTGTACTTTTACAGACTGCGCGCGCGCACACACACACACACACACACACACACACACACACACACACAGTAAATATTTTTACTGTTAGCATGGCGTGCTTCTGTCATGGACATGAGTGCATGGGCCCAGGATCACTGCTCACAGAGCCGTGCACAAACGCAGGTTAAAGCTCCATCGTGGAAAGAATAAGCCACGTGTAATCATGATCTAAACCACCGCTCTGGAAAACTGTTCTGAGGTCAGACAAATCCAAATGTAAAATGATTGTTGGAAAACAAGGATTAAAGAGGGGAGAGACCATCAGTTCAGAAGTCTGCATCTCTAACAGTGCGGTGTTGCATCTATTCACATACCAGAGTCCAGAGTGATACACGACACACAGAGAAAATGCAAAAACAATAACATGAAATCAGTATTTTTGCACCCTGCAGATGGTTATTAACGTCATTTCTTTTTAAACGTACCTCTCTGACATGTTCCGATGGCGCCGATCATGAGTAACGTTCCCACAGCTCCAATCAGAATTCCAAGCACAACACTCCAGCCATGAACACTGATCTGATCTGACACTTTGCATTCCTCAAATATTTTCTCTGAAACACATGAAAAACAGCAAGGTTATAAATGTCATACTGTATCCAAAAATACTTTTATTTAAATATAGAAAAACTAATAATAAAACACCAATTTAAACCCAACAAAGAAGAGAAATCTCACCGGGCACATAGATCTCTGCTTTAGTCTGGTGGTGGATGTCCTCCTGCCTGGCTACGCAAACAAACAGGTTAGTTGTTGTCCTGCTAACGGTGGATCTCAGGGAGACGTAGTAGCGTCCTCGCTTTTCAGAGACCTGTGGCTCCTCGGCAGGGAGAACGTTTCCATTGCTGTCCTCCCACTCCAACTTTGGTTTGGGAAAAACGCCTGGAACCTCACATCTCAGCGTCACCCCGTCCTCTGTGACATTAAGTATGGCAGTATATGGTGTCATAGACGCGCCTGTAAATAGAACATCATGTAAATAGTTTGTAGAAATGTGATAATATGACATTTTGTCTACAGCTACTTAAATAGCTTACAAAAATAAAACCACAGCACGCCAAAAGAATGAACCTAAAATGTGATGAAAATTAAGCCGAAACTTTGGTGGTCAACAGAAACCTAGAAAGTGTTCAGGTTTTGTCCCAGTGTATTAAATCTCCAGCAGCTCCATGCTGACCGCTCATCAAACAGATGCACCACAGATTTCTCTTTTTTCCTCTCTTCAGTCATTAACTTTGCTGATGTATGTTAGTAGCTCATACATCAGCTTTAACCATTTTCACACAGCACAGTAGCACAGCACAGAAGGTAAAAATAGAGTTAAGGCCTGCTTTCAAGTTAGCTAATCAAGAAGTTTCAGACCGGAATGGTAAATGGCCTGTATTTATATAGCGCTTTACTAGTCCCTAAGGACCCCAAAGCGCTTTACACATCCAGTCATCCACCCATTCACACACTGGTGATGGCAAGCTACATTGTAGCCACAGCCACCCTGGGGCGCACTGACAGAGGCGAGGCTGCCGGACACTGGCGCCACCGGGCCCTCTGACCACCACCAGTAGGCAACGGGTGAAGTGTCTTGCCCAAGGACACAACGACCGAGACTGTCCAAGCCGGGGCTCGAACCGGCAACCTTCCGATTACAAGGCGAACTCCCAACTCTTGAGCCACGATCGCCCACGACCGGAAATGGGGAAAAAACGACACAGACTTTCTCCCTCACTCTTCTATTTCCTCCTGTGTGCAGAGCTGCACATTCACAGCTCTGATGTTCTGTTTGAGTCAGTTAACAAGTATTATAGTGTGTTAGAGCGCGCAGGGACAGAACTAATCATGTGCAACGTTCAAATGCAAAACAAGGAAGCAGAGTAAAGTTTGTAACAGCCCACAGAGGAAAAGCAGAGCTGGAGGTCGGTGAAAAAGCAGCCTGCAGATGTGACGTGATTGTGCATGATGTTTGGAAAGTACATCCGATATACAAAATAACAAGTCTCTGCTTCTCATCATCTCAAAGACATTTAAATTTGCAATGTGTGCTGATGGATTACCAACATAAAGACAACACAGAGGTAATGTAGAATACATTTCAGTTCAACCAAATTATGAGAAAAAGTGATGCTAAATAAGTGAGGAATGATTGTTTGAAAGCATGGAAGTAAATACCTGTAGTTAGCAGGACTGGGTACAATTATTAAAATGTTCAGTGAAAATACATTTCAAATGTAATTTTTTGTTCAAGTCACCATATAAATGTCTCCACACTGGGGCTGCCACGATTAGTCGACTAGTCACGATTACGTCGACTATCAAAATCGTCAACGACTGATTTAATAGTCGACGCGTCGTTTGAAGCTTTGTAAGATCCCAAAAGACGCAGGAATAAGTAGTAGGATTTAAGAGTGTAATAACGGACTGAAACAGAAGATGGCAGCACTGCATGTACAAGGATGCCAGCTGCCGTTAAACCCCGAAGAAGAAGAAAGCTGTGTCCCAGAATTCATAGCGCGGCCCTGCTCAGTTTCCAACAATGGCGGCAGCTAGTTAGTTTTAATATTACTCTTATTATTCTTTCTGGGTCACAAAATAAACGTTTAACATATTTTCAGGCGAGAATGTAGCTGTGTAAACCTCAAATATCTGCTCAGTTTATCAGACACCACATATTTTCAAAAGCGCTCCGACGTTTTCGGAGACGTCTGTTACCCACTAGCTCGATAGCTAGCCGGGGGCAAGGCTCACTAGAGCCGTGAGAACACCGGACTCCCGGCAAATCGTTTTCAAACCCACCGCCGTCTTTCGCTACTCAGGTTAAACATGATATAAGTCACTTAGATAACTTAAAAATGTTATTGTTTGGCTTTTTTTAGTATTTTATTTGTTCCTGAGTAAATCGGTTTGGCTGAGATTAAAGTTATTTTACACAGCTGAATAAACGTCAAGCAGACAGCTGATTATCAGAAGTGTGAGATGCTGGCCAGAATATTACTCCGGTGTCCTGTTATATTTTAGATAGCAAGGAGTTTATTAAACTTCACCGAAACAATCTGCAGATTTCATTAAAATTTAATAAACTATCATCTTGTCTTTATTTTTAGTTAGCACATACCTTAAACACTTCAAGCTGTAAGATAATGATAGTTATATAAGAGCAGATGCTGTTGGTGCAATAAGCTTTAGTTTTACATCCAATGGATGATGATCTGATTAGTCGACTAATCACAAAAATAATCGGTGACTAGTCGACTATCAAAATAATCGTTTGTGGCAGCCCTACACACAGACGGCTCCTGCAGTAGCGGTGTCAGTTAGCAGTGTGGGAGCGTGGTGTTAGATTTGGTGCCTCCAGTTTAGACGGTCAGACATAAAAACATGATACTCAGGCCTGCAGAGATGAAGTCATTCACACACGTTGCAGATTTAGATGTCAGTGACATAATCAAAATCAGGACTCACCAAGAATGTTTTCAGCTAATCTGTCCATGTAGGAGGGACCTTAAAGGCAAAGATGCAGATGGATTACAGCATATCATGGCTGCTGAAAGCTTTCAGACTGAACAGTTTTCATACATTTAAGACTTGAGAGTAAGTTCTTGTACTCAGTCTGTGGGCTCTCTCCCTTTAGGCTTACTGTACAGTTGTATTGCTCACATGAATTCACAGCTGGTCATCTGCTCAGTCTTAGCATTTTTATTATGAACTCAGATTTCTGAGAGCATGCAATCATACAAGTGAAAACCAAAAGCAGGGCTTTTATACACGAGCTGACTGCACAGCCATTCTCTAGTCTTAGCATCCTTTCACTTCTTCACAAAGACATTAATGTATTATTATTTCAGCATGCAAATAAAATTAGTCGCTATGCAGAGAGAAGATTAGGCAAGCTAGGAAATCTGCTAGCAGGTGATTTAGCCCACACAAAGGTGCCTGTCACAGTTTAGTAAGACGGTCAGGTTAGTGAAAGAAAAGGCAAATCACACAAATCTAACACTGTAAACTGTGAACATGTTAACTATAGGGAATCAAGCTTTGGGTAACACCAGTCACGCTGTGACTTACAGTGTGTACTGAAGAAAGACTGTAAGCAGTGAGCTCAGAGTTAGAAGTCTCTCAGGAAACAGGGCGACTTCTTGCACAGCTGCTGGGGGAAGCATGAGCAAGCAGAGAAAAAGGTGTGACTCAAAGCATGCATATATATATAACCTTTTACATAAATACTGCCATTTTAAAATTTTATGTATTAATCTTACAATGAGCATTAATCTCTGGATGTCTTTAGTTTCAGTTTTTTTTAAAAAGAAAATCAGCCACAGTCTGTAATTCAAATCAACATAAGTCTGGCTTATTTAAAAACACTCACTGACAATGAGCTGCACGCTGAACGTTCTCGGGGGGTTGAGCCGTGGAAAAAGACACGTGTAGTTCCCACTGTCAGACACCCTGGTGTTGTTGATCCTTATGGAGGCGTTACCGTGTTTCAGTTCTTCTTCCAGGTGAGAGACCCGACCTTTGAACTGCCCATCTTGGCCTGGTCGTCCATTATTGTAATGGACACCAGCATCATACATAAACACCTCCTGATGACCCTTCTTCCAGTCAAACAGGACATTAGTGATGTCCTGTTTGCTGCTGAGAGCACAGGGCAGAACGGCAGCGCTCCCTTCTTCCACGATCACTTTAGTGAGTGTGGGCACTGAAAAACATGTAGAAATAACACGTAAAAATAAATATATACAAACACACATTTTTGTTTGATTATTGATATTGAAATGGCTTTTCTTTAATCACGGTGATACAGCTGTTTTAGGTTCTTAGTTGCCCTGCTTCTAATTAAAAGCTACACTTTAGCTATTAGGAAAGGCAGCCATTCATTTTACCTGAATCCTTCAATCTGTCACTTTCTAATGACGTCCATCCATCAGGTTTCTTACCGCATTAATTTCGCCTCTGTCCATCAGCACACCGGGAAAATTCCCGGTGTGCCAAAAAAACGATTGTCTGCCAAAAACTGATTGCTTGTATTTAAACTGCTATAAATAACTTGTTAGTCTATAATACGTGAAACATATGTCAAATGTATCCCTCATGAATGATATTAAGTCATCCTGAGCCACAAACAACATTCCTGTAAAAAGGTAGATGCCGCAAACCGTTTTTAGCAGTGACTTTTATATATCCTTTGTTTGTGCAGTTAAAAAATGTCATTAACATTAAAAATGTCTTTTGTAAGACCGAAGTTCACCGAAATCCATTTACAAACATACATATTGACACAAATTTTGTTTGATTTGGGTAATGTGGGGGGTCTGGTTGACCTCTGATGACCTCCAGAAATTCTTATTAATATCTTTAAAATGATAGCAGCACAAACGAAAATTTTTGCAGCACAGACGTTTGATACCACTTTTGTTGGATTTGAAGAAGGTGGGGGGGCCAACTTCACTCACATCCTTGGGCGTGGTGTTAATTGTTTGCTGTTTTCGCGATCGAGTTGCGCATGAGGATGTCACCAGGTAAACTCGCCACATTTTTAAACATTTTGTTGTTCAACAGCATCAAGACTGACGGAGTGTGTTTGAGATAACCTCACAAGTGTCACAGTTGACACATTTGGCGTTTTTTTGCTGATCCGATAACAGACACCATCTTCTCAAATATCCAGTAACCCACCTGCTGCACGGCACGACTCGACACTTTGCTACTGTACATAAAAGACCGTACAACGTTTTTAGTAATATACATTTTACACAGTGTTACCGGTCAGCGATGTGGTGACGATCAGGATAAGTGCAGCGAGGTGTTTCATTGTTGTCGATTCAGAGAAACTCGTGGAAGTCCCTCTGTTCTGAGCGGATGATCTGATATCCTAGTGTCGGTGTTGTTCCCAGACCATGAAAATGTTGTTCCAGGTTCAACATTGGAAGTGACCAATCACATTGTTGTGACGTTATTCTTTTGCGCGCCAAGCCATTCGTGCATTTATGAAATTCCAATGTTGCAAGGACAATATCAATTCTGCTTACTGTTTATTAAAGGGTTACGGTTAGGGTCAGGGTCTGTTGATCGGCGGACAGAGGCGGTTTCACGCAGCTTAAGTACAGTTTTTTGTTTTACGCCGGTGTTTCCCGAAGTCGCAAAAGTATGACGTCACAACATTCTGATTGGTCACTTGCAATGTTGATCCTAGAACAACATTTTTTTAATAAACCTTTATTTAAACATCAGTACAATACAAAATGGAATTAAACAGTACTATATTAATGGTGTTGTACTTACAAAAGAATTGTATGCATAGATAAACAAATACAAGAACAGTATTCAGAAACAACAATATAAATATGCTAGGGGGAAAGTAACTGATCAAGCCAAAGAATAAAGTGATTGAAAGATCTTGATTTTTTCACAAACACCAATAGTTTTTATAGCTTTTGGGTTAGTGGAGTTCTTAATTGAGTTAAGATACTGTAGAAGTTCAAAGGAGAATACATAAAAAGAGGGATGTCTTCCTAAACATTTGGACTTGTGAATATGAAATTTAGCCATTAAAAGTAACAAGTTAATCATATATCTGTTATCAAAGTTGAATTGTTTTTGGTTTTTGTGCAGACCAAATAAAACATATTTCCAAAACAGATAAAATCCTTTTTCAAATAACACAATAAGGATCTGTTCTGTATGTTGCTGTTGAACTGGCGTGTGGGAGAGAGTGAGCAGCTTCCGGTTCCTTGGGTACATCTGGCTGAGGATCTTACGTGGTCAGTACACACAAACAAAACAGTGAAGAAGGCGCAGCAGCGCCTCTTCTTTCTCAGGAGACTGAAAAGATTCGGCATGAGCCCCCGCATCCTCAGGACCTTCTATCACTGTGCCATTGAGAGCATCCTCACTGGATGCATCACCACCTGGTATGGCAACAGCACCGCCTACAACCTGCAAAGCTCTCCAGCGAGTAGTGCGGTGCTCTGAACGGATAATTGGAGGTGAGCTTCCCTCCCTCCAAGACATCTACAGGAAGCGCTGCCTGAGGAAAGCGGGGAGGATCATCAAGGACTCCAGTCACCCCAGCCATAAACTGTTCAGACTACTTCCATCAGGAAGGAGGTTCTGCAGCATCCGGTCCCGTACCAGCAGACTGAGAGACAGCTTCTTCCACCAGGCCATCAGACTGCTGAACACGTCATAGACACCTCAGCTTCACTACTGGAACTTCAACACTATGCACTCCACACTGTATATAAATGCCACTTGTTTTGCACATATTCAACTCTGTATATTTTTATATATTTCATTTATTATTATTATTTTTTACTATTTAATTTGTAAAATGTGTATACACAACACACACACACACACACACACACACACACACACACACAACAGGAAAATGTTTAGTATACACATCCAGAAATGCATACACTATTATATATTGTACATATATTTATTAGTTTCAGATGTAGCCATTCTTGTATTTGCTGGTTTGTGTTGTTGTGTTTGCACATTTCTGTTGCTTGTGGGCTCGCACACAAGAATTTCACTCGCATGTGCTGTGCCAGTGTGCCTGCACATGCGATGTGACAATAAAAGTGATTTGTTTTGATTTGATTTGATAATTGCATTTGCAGAGGACCAACTGAGTGGCAGACTTGTAATAAAACTTACTACCCCGTTGGGTAGGAAATAGATATTCTGGAGTCTGTCGTGAATGAGACCAGAATATAACAATATACCTACATTATGCTGTCTCCCTTTATTTTGTAGATATATGTGGAAAAAAGTAAAAACGTAAGACATAAAATGATAAACACAGACAATATAAACGCATAATATATGAATCAAATCTGAAAAAAAAACCCCACAGACATAACATTTTAAGTTAGTTGCTGCCACCAGTGTTGGTCAAGTTACTTGAAAAAAGTAATCAGTAACTAATTACTGATTACTTCCCCAAAAAAGTAATCCGTTACTTTACTGATTACTTATTTTCAAAAGTAATTAATTACTTAGTTACTTTTTAAAAACACGATTTACAACCTGAAGAGGTGATAAAGCGATAGATCTTTCAGCCCAATTCTACTTTTTCTGCATAATCCATCATACAAAATGTAATCAAATGGAAAAGTCTCTTTTTAAAACTTGTTTTATTAGTTTTAATCTTTTAACTTTATGCATCAAGCAAAAATTTAATTATCTGCAACATTCTCTGACTGGAAGAAATTAGTTTAACATTTAAACCTATTTTCTGCACATTCCAGCACATAAAATAAAATATTTTTGTGTTTACACTCAGTCTTTCAAATAGATGCAAGTAAAACACAGCAGAAAATAAATAAAGTCAAAGACTCAGCGGTCCTGTTGCTCTATTTTCACCTGTAAAGCAGGAGTGTGGGTAGGCGGAGGTTACCCTGGTGCAGGTGTGCCGCGGTCAGTGGAAGAATCCGCGAGTTTCTCTGTGAGTTTCCCATTACGTCGAGCTACTCGGTGCTTGTTGGAAGTTTAGGGGTTTTTTCGCTGTAAAAAGAAGTTTTCTTCCCACGCACAGCGGACACTCATGTTTTTGTCACTTTTTATGGAATCAAACTCAAAGTAAGGTCAGTACTTCCACGCTTTAAACGCTGCACGCTCATACTCTCTCTGCACTCGATATGTGATCCATTGTTGATCTGCACACAGCTGTTGTCACGAACGCGCACTCGCTTACGTCACTGTCTGAGACATTCTCGCAAAAAAATCACGGTTTTAGTAACGCAGTAACGCAGCGTTCCTACGGGAAAGTAACGGTAATCTAATTACGTTTTTGCAATAGTAATCCCTTACTTTACTCGTTACTTGAAAAAAGTAATCAGATTACAGTAACGCGTTATAAGTAACACGTTACTGCCCATCTCTGCTGCCCACAACTGGCCTTTTTCAAATTTTCAGAGTATGTCACCACAGTTAGAGGTGAGAGAAGACACTGCTCTTTTCAACATGTACAAAAGAAATGCTGAATGACTCACAGCACAACCAAACAGTGTATGTGCTTAGTAAAGGATTATGTGTGAGTTTTATCCACACATACTTTCTGTATTTGAGTGGATTATGGTATTTTTTGCTTTTTTCTCACTGGGTAACTCTTCTTCTTCTCTTGGTACATATTTCTGTAACTGCAGTGTCACTGATCTCGTTGTTTGTCTGTTTCTGCACATGCTCCGCAGGACTGCATCAGTCTGGGTTCAGGTGAGCCCAACGTGCCAGAGCACCGCTCCTTTGTGCTCTACCATAACAACAGCCCGCGATGGAGCGAGGTGATCAAACTGCCGATTCCCATCGACCGTTTCAGAGGGTCCCACCTGCGCTTCGAGTTCAGACACTGCTCCAGTGAGTGTGTTAATTGTGTTAATACTGGGGCTGTCACGGCTAATGGGATGATCCGTGTGGAGAAAATAAATGAGGATCCAAGCACAGGCTTATTGTAAAAATAAAACCCAGAACCGTGACAGGTGCAGTGTAATAAGATGACAGATGCATCTGCATTTCTTGGCATGCAGATGCAGCAGCTGGCTGCTCACTATAATCCTCCCAGACTGATTAGGTGCTGCTTCAAGCAGGTGGTGACATTTATAGAAAATATATCTAAATATAACATTAAAATCATAACCAAGTTACTCTTTGACCTTCTTATATGCAGGCTGTATCACTTTGTCTACAATAGTGAAGTAATGAACTGGTTTTCTGAATACATCTCTAATAATCTGAGAGACATTTAACCTCGGTGCTTTTTGACCGAACACTCGGTGCGTTTCTCCTCTCACATGTTCCTTCTTCGTCATTTTCTCTGCAGCAAAGGACAAAGGAGAGAAAAAGCTGTTTGGTTTTGCCTTCACGCCTCTAATGAGAGAGGATGGAACTACTCTCTCTGATGAGAGCCACGAGCTGTATGTCTACAAGGTCAGCTACACTAGAGCTTTTCTGTTTCCTGGCTGCTACTCATCAGCCTTCATCACACGTTACTCATTTATTCTGCAGAGGAGTCTTTCTGTTGGCTGATGATTGCAGCAGAAATGACAATATTTACTTAGTATATATGTGAACTGTACTTCAGTAATCTCACAGTATAACTATAAAGTTCACTTTAAATGTCGTGTACACTTTGTACATGATATCCACAACACCTATACTGTTGCTCACCAAAACTGTACAGCAGGTCCAACTCCAGGCCTCGAGGGCCGTGTCCTGCAGGTTTTAGATCTCACCCTGGGTCAACACACCTGAATCAGACAATTAGTTCATTACCAGGCCTCTGGAGAACTTCAGGACATGTTGAAGAGGTAATTTAACCATTTAAATCAGCTGTGCTGGATCAAGGACACATCTAAAACCTGCCGTCCCTCGAGGCCTGGAGTTGGACACTCCTGCTGTACAGTGTACACACCACAGACTAAAGTCTTACCTCACACACAAGCTTCATGTTTGCAGCTTTTGACTCAGTTTTGCAGCCACACTTTGACAATGAGGTGCACAGATCTGTTTGAATCACTTTTTCCTTCCTTATTTTCCTCCTCCTCGGTGTCTCGTGTCCTCAGTGTGATGAAAACACGACCTTCAGTAACCACGCCCTCTACCTGGGGCTGCCCTGCTGTAAGGAGGACTTCAACAGCTGTCCCAACATCCCCTCCAGCCTCATTTTCCAGCGCAGCATGAAAGAGACCTTCTGGATTTCCACACAGCTCTCCTCCACCAAGCTCACCCAGAACGGTACGCAGCTGATCTGCAGCCGGCGTTTGAGCCGCTCGTGGATAATGTGCTTAAATGTGCACGATTACACGTGAGAATTTCAGACTGTTTTTAATTCCACTGTCACCAAGTGTTTGCATATACGGGCTCGTATGATTGTTGGCGTTTCTTTCTGATATTGTAGTCGTAACCTGACATAAAGCAGCTTGAGGTGACAGCATTAAAGTGAGGAAAAACTGTCACCATCTGTTATGGTTCTGGCATACAGACACCTGCTTTCAGCCGTTGTGCTGCGCTAACAGTGGCTTCCTCATTTATGACAGTTTTTACTCCGTTGTACAGATTAAACGGCTGTTTTGCGGCTCACAGGCTGAAGTCTGAATATGAGCCTTTTTCCATTTTTCCTGGTGTTTGACATTCCTGTTGTCTTCCAGTGGACCTCTTGGCCCTGCTGAAGTGGAAGGCCCATCCCGACCGGGTCATGGACATCCTTGGACGGCTTCGGCATGTCAGTGGAGAAGAGATCGTCAAGGTGAGGTTTGAAGTCGAATAGGTGGGGAGATTGTTCTGTTTCATATGTGTAAACACCTGTACCTAAAATCCTGAGACTACAGTCAGGATGAAACGGCATCATAAGATTTGCTGTGTAAGACATTTCCCATGTTGCTGGGCAGGACGTGTTTGTTGGTGATCTCTGAGGTGGTTTGAGGGGATTTTTTAAAGCATGTGTTAAAAGAGCTCTACAGGTGTTGTAATACTCCTGTGGTCCCATTAACATTAGCTTGTAGACAACCAGCAACTGGGAGGATACCATGAAAATGTTTGATTCTTTAAAAATTGTCATGTGGTGTTCATAAATAACTAATAACGGAAATTTTCTTTCCGCCATTATGTAAGCCATTTTCCTCAGCAGGACTTTCAGCAGCTGTTTACTAAACTGAAGACATGTCATCGTGTGTGTGTGTGTGTGTGTGTGTCTCAGTTTCTTCAGGACATTCTGGACACCTTGTTCTCCATCTTGGATGACAACACAGACAAATATGGGCCGCTGGTTTTTCAGTCATTGGTGAGTGTGGCGTAGGGCTGGGTATCGTCACTGATTTCTAGAATCGATTCCATTCGATTCAATTCTATTCTATTTGATTCAATTTGATTTGAATCTGGGAAATTTTGCCTATAAAAAGGAAGCTGACACTCGCCAGACTTTATCAAAGGTGTGAGCATCACAGCAGAGGCCTTTGTGTCAAAGCAGCTGAAGATAAAACACAGAAAAACATGAAGGTGATTTTCCTGGGATTTTATAAAAATATTCTGCAGTATGTCAAAAATGAAAGAAAACCATTAATGAACACATGAACATCACCTCTGAAGTTACAGCGGTTTGATTACAGACACAGCGTTTTGCATTTTGCATAATTTTAAAAAGTTTAAATTTGTTCAGAAGCCTGTTGAACGGCAGAAACTAGGTTTTCTTTTTGGAAGTAAGTAAAAGGGGAAAAAAACAGAGGCCAACAGCCTGTAAATAATGGTAGACTTGTGCCTAACAAGCAAGTGAATAATGCAGAAAACAGATTTTTAGACGGGAAACTGTTGTTGAAGTAGAGAGAGAGAGAGAGAGAGAGAGAGCTGTGCATGAAGTGTGATCAGCAAAAGTCAGAGTGAGTTCATGACGATGTTTATGTGAAGCGTAGTTTGGATCTTCTTTTGCTGCTGGTTCAGTCAATATTGTTTGGAGAGAGATCAAACCTGCAGCTTCAGAATCAGCACAAAGACGTGAACACAAAGCTCGACCCGCCGAAACTTCAGAATCAGCGAGCTGTCGGCTTTCAGCCCCGACCGTGTCCGTGCCGTCGGGTGAGAAAGGCGACATCTCACCGATTCTGATCCGCGGGTCGGCGCTTTGTGTTTACATCTTTGTGCAGAGTCCGTGTTCCTGCTCTCATTTACTGTTTTAGCTGTTTGGTGGTTGTTGAAATTTTGTGAGGTTTAACCTGAGATTCTGGCGTTTTGGGCAAAATAAATTTATAATAAAAAATCGATTCAGGATTTTAATGAATCGATATCATGTTATCCAAGCCAGAATCGATTTTAATCGATAAATCGATTATCAAAACCCGCCCCTAGTGTGGCGTGGGCAGTGCACGAAGAAGAAAATAAAGTAAACAAACAAAAGTGACAAATAATGAGTTTCATTAAATTTAATAATGAAGATTTAGAGACTTGCAGAAGAAACAATCTAATACAGATGAGGCTAACTGTCAGTTTCAGTCCCACTGATGTCATCCTCTGAGTTACTGGAAACAGGAGCTCTGACACACCCTAAACTCTGAAAGCTGAAAGATTTTTTACTCTAATTTCAGGATGACTGTGCAACAGGAATAAGAGTTACAGTTAAATGTGGAAAACGTGGGTGGGTGATGAAAGAAGGTTACGCTGTAACAGGAAAATAAAATACTGTGGGGTCATGATCACATGATCACAAAGAAAGCACTAAAATATAAACAATAACCTGGTGCCTGCACATCTGTAAATACAAGCTGAACAACAACATATGAAAAGCTCTGTCCAATCAGAAGCTTCAGCAGGACAATGATCCCAAGCACAGCAGCAGACTGGACTTTCACACACTGCCTCTGCACTGTGGCTCAGTTTGTGTTTGATAAGTAATGACATGGTATAAAATGCTATGTGTTCAGGTTCCTCTGAGCTTCTATTTACCTGCTCTTAACATGAGGACTAGTAGCACTATTTCTTTTTTAAATCTCTTGATAGCTAAACCCTTCGCTTTGAAAGAGGCCGTACTTTTTTTTTCACTGTGATGATTCATTTTCTGTGCATTTGCGCGTCACTCAAGCATCACACTCACTGATCACAGTCTCTGTCTCACAGGTGTTCATTATAAACCTGCTCAGGGACAGTAAATACTACCACTTCAGGCCGGTGATGGACACTTACATCCAGAAGCACTTTGCTGGAGCGTTAGCTTACAAGTGAGTGTTGTTCTCTAACTGACAGCATGACTGATTAAAGTGTGATTGTATATTTGTGTTCACGTCGTTTGCCTTCATTGCATTTTGACTTCTCCTGGATATATTTTATCACGGTGGCTCAGGGGCATCAGAGATAAATACAGTGTGGAAAACTGGCGTAGGATTGCATGCTTTTCATGCTCATTTAACTTTGACCTCATCCAGATATATTACATGAGAATTGCTTTGAGTAAGAGTCTGAAAATTAGTTTTGCACTGACTAAATATTTTATAGAGGATGAAACAAAACTCTCGATCTCGGGTCGACTGGCAGAAAATAAAACAGACACATATAGTTATTATAACTACACAAATTTTAGTTTTTCAGGTCTTTGTGATGTATTTCCGTACATGTTTGGTCCTGCAGAGTGCTGCGACTATCACAACAAAAGGAACATCTAAGCATTTATTTAAAAATCTAGTAGTTTAACTCCACACAGAGCCTTCCTGGGCTGAACGGGTCCTTTCTTAAAGTAATGATATGTTTGCACTCCTTCCAGTGCAGAGAATCAACCCTGTGTGGCTTTTTAAATGTGTTTCAGGGAGCTGATCCGCTGTCTGAAGTGGTACATGGATCGCTCTGCTGAGGTGGTGAGGCAGGACCACATACAGGAAGCCATGAGGGTAAGAGCTGAGTGCCACCTGGGTGGAGCACTGACCTGAACACTGGACTCGGAATAATCAAACACATGAAGGGCTGTTGGCATTTTTCATCTCTTCACTGAGTTTTATATAACAGTCTTTGCCATAAAGCCCTTTTTAAACAAAAAAACACCTTTTCAACTTTTTAATTCCTCCCACTGGACGTTCTTCAGGTAAAATATGACTGCATGCATTCAGAACTACATCAGTGACGTAGCAGAGCTGGGAATAGATGCACCGTCCCGGGCAGATGTGCAGAACGTACCACATTTAGTAGACAAACGCTGCTCAGCACGTTAAAATATTTATCCGACTCAAGCATCCATCCCAAATGGGTCACACTGTCATGTAAAAAGTGGACGGCGTGAATTATTGAGGGCAGCTTTGACACATGCTGCAGTCTCCAGATTTATCTTTTATAAACTGCGTCCAAGGAGTTTTAGCCTGTTTCTGTCTGCTTTATTCTTCCACTAACTTTCTTAACCATTGTTGAAAACAAGGAGCAGCCCAGATGCTGCAGATGTTTCTGTCCTGGTGCATCCTGGGATCTCTGTCCAGATACAAATAGGATCTTGTCTCCTGCAGATGTGATAAAGGCGTAAACTCCAGATGAAAAGAACACTTTTAATTATCTGTAGCTGGTAGGTTTTGCAAAAACAAAACAAAACTAGACTTAAAGCAAACATTTTGAGTAAGCAGTCATTAAAATAGTAACAAGAATATTCACGAAGAGGCTTCAGAATTTGATCTCACATCCTGATAACCACACGTTTCACCAAACCAGTCTCAGTGGGGATTTTACAGTTTGTAACTCAGACTTCCTTTTGACACACAGTCATTAGTTAATGTGGACACGCAGTCCTGTAAAAAACTTACGTGCAACCTTACTGCCAGCTGCAAATGTGCATGTTTGACTGTCATCATGTTCAACCCATGCAATCCTCAGAGGGTTTGCAAAACACCAAAGAGCTCCGTCTCAGACTCGAAAGCCTCGGTTAGCATGTTAAATTTTAAAGTTCATGACAGCACAGTCAGAAGGTTTGCCAGGAGAAAATCTCTTCTCTGATTTGCATCTGAACAAACCACAAAGATTTGTGAACTAAAGGGTTCGTATTGCGCTGCACCATGTTTGGGTAAAACCAACACAGGATATCAGCACAAACAGCTCAGACAGAGGTGGAGCTGTGCATCAATGAGTCCTGCAAACCCACGAGAACAAGAGCACGAGCTAAGTGAGCGGCCGAAGTTCCCCCACAACCACGTGACAGAGGGATGAGTTTACAGTTTTATGTCTTCTGTGCGTTTAAATGCACAGAAGCTAATGGCTAATGTGGAAGTATAAAAACGAGATTATTACACTGAACTAGACTAAAAACTAAAACTGGTTGTGAAGCAATAAAAAAAGGAAACTAGAAAAACAAACTAACTGAAAATAATGTCGTTAAATAAAATCTACAGGAAGTCTTTTTAAGTCTTTGTCAGTTTGGTCATATTTGTCACTAAAAGCATCGTTGGCGTTCATGTTATTAAAACCTGGACAAGCTACATGCTTGTGAGTCAAAGTTTGTGTTTTAGTCTCTGTTCTGAACTCTGAGAGCAGAGTTCCTGTTAATTTAAAACAAAATAAGTAATCTGATGCTCGAACTAAGAGAAACTAAAGCTTAAAGTGGGAATATTTTATTTAACTTAAATTACCCATCCTTTAAAAAAAGCGTACAGGGCTCCCTCGCTACATCGCGGTTCACTTTTCGTAGCCTCGATGTTTCACCGATTTTTTTTTGGTGCAATTTTTACGTTGTTTTTTTTTTTTTTTTTTTGCAGCGCATTGTGTTCTGCGTCCTGATTGGCTGTAGACCATTTTCAATCAATCTCGTGCCGTGTCTCCTGTACAGCACAGAATGCGTTCAGCTTGTCAATTTACATAAATCTTTGCAAGACAACAAACACAACAGTGTCGACGTCAAAGGATTCTAAGGAGCATTGTGATGTGGGGCGATCGTGGCTCAAGAGTTGGGAGTTCGCCTTGTAATCGGAAGGTTGCCGGTTCGAGCCCCGGCTCCGACAGTCTCGGTCGTTGTGTCCTTGGGCAAGACACTTCACCCGTTGTGTACTGGTGGTGGTCAGAGGGGCCGATGGAGCGATATGGCAGCCTCGCTTCTGTCAGTGCGCCCCAGGGTGGCTGTGGCTACAATGTAGCTGCCTCCACGTGTGTGTGAATCGGTGGATGACTGGGTGTGTAAAGCGCCTTGGGGTCCCTAGGGGGGACTAGTAACCCGGGAGAACAAAAAGAAAAGTGAATATTTCATGCTTCTCTTTTCTTTGTTTGCACGTCCTCTCAGGCTTTGGAGTATCTGTTCAAGTTCATCATCCAGTCTCGGATCCTTTACTCTCGGGCCACGTGTGGCATGGAGGAGGAGCAGTTTCGCACCAGCGTCCAAGAACTCTTTCAGTCGATCCGCTTCGTGCTCAGCCTGGACAGCCGCAACTCCGAGACGCTCATCTTCACTCAGGTGAGGAAACCTGCAACTCTTGAGATGTGTAAAGCGCTTTGGGGTCCTTAGGGACTAGTAAAGCGCTATATAAATACAGGCCATTTACAAAAACAAAAACATTTTTCTTCCTTGTTCAGGAAGCAGACAAAAATCATTTATTGTTGTGATTTTGATGTTGAAACTGTTGTGTCGTCATAGTTTACAGTAGACAGCTAACAGTGAAATGTACTTTAGTTTAGCTGCTTCCCATCTTCTTGTAGTTGCCTTAATCTGACTTTTATTTCACTTCTGTTCCTTTTTCCACTTGTACCTCGCATCTTTCCTTGTTTCCTTTCCTCATCTTCTCTTTCAATTTCCCCTAAATCTTTGCTCCTTCAATTGGGTCCCTGTTATTCCTCCTGGGTCTCCTCCACACCCAAATACCACAGGGCCCCCAGCCTTGTCCGGGCCCAAATCAAGTCCCAGGTCCCGGCGCTGGGCTTCCTGCTCCCTTAGCACTAGCTCCTGCCCCGGGCCAACTGCAGTCCACTGTCCCAGGACAGGTTCCTGGCAGCGGACAGGCCAACTGCACTCAGGCCGTGAGCACCAACGCTCTGCGGCCGACTCCGCTGTCAGTAAGTAAACGTCTGGAAGAAACCCACAGCACCCCTTTAACCCCGTGAAGCCCAGAGTCCCATTTCACCTCAGAGAGCTCTAACCACACACACACCTGTGGTCGTCCACACACACGTCCCGGCTGATGTAACACACAAGTACACGATGCCCTCTTGCACTCGCTGGTCACACGTCCTCTGACTGAGAGCATGTTTGTTAATGACATCCATCCTGATAACTCTTCACTTCACTCGCTGTAGAGACAAAAATGTTTCTTGGCTGTAAACGCGTCTCTGCTGTCTTTAGATCCAGGCTCACGTGGCCTTTACAGGTACTGCAGGATTTGGACTTTTTCAGCCTTGATTCACGCAATAAGAACAAACTCGTTTAAATAAATTAATCTCATGTACTTCTTCCTATTTTTCAGTGAGGCCTCTAAACATTTTCCAAAATCTACAATTTTCACCAGAAGAACTCTTAAAGAAAACATTAAAAAGTGGAACTAAAACTGGAGTATTTGCCCAGGACCTCATAGGCTTAGATTAGCTTTATTTTTAGAAGAGGTGAAATATTGTTAGTAAAAATACAAAGAGTGGAGAAGAAGTTTTCATCCAGAGTTCAGCAGCTTTCAGTTTTGTGCCGCTCTGAGTCCAGTTCACACCAGAATGAACCTGTTTGTCTCCACGTCTGCTGCAGCTTCTTTGTTGTGCTAAAATCCGTCTTTGTGTCCCGTTCACTCTGTTTGAACCATGTTATTAATGATTGATACCCCTGACTTGCTAGTGTGTGTGCTTTGTCCTCCTTTTGTCAAACCTTTCACTTCCAGCTCTGGTTTGTTTTCTGCTGTGGAATAACTTCTGTGTGCCTCTTTGTACGAGCTGTTTTGTAAAAACTGTAATAGCTGAATCTGAACAGATGTCTACCTGCTGACCTGTGTGGATTTATGACTCCTCGTGTGGGTTGGCACCTCTCTCCTGTGGACACTCCAGTCACTGAAATCAGGATTGTTCCTTATAACCGACTCCTTCTCTCTCTCGTTCACTCGAACCTTTTTTTTGACTAACACCCCCTGCTGCCCTCCTCCCTAAATAAACCTCTCCCCTGTTGTCATTAACGTCTCTTCTGTCCCTAATTTCATTCTCAGGCTGCACTTTTGAACTCGTTCCCAGCCATCTTTGATGAGCTTCTGCAGATGTTTACGGTGCAAGAGGTGGCCGAGTTTGTGCGCGGCACCCTGGGCAGCATGCCGTCCACGGTGCACATAGGACAGTCCATGGATGTGGTCAAGCTGCAGTCCATAGCTCGGACCGTGGACAGCCGGCTCTTCTCTTTCCCAGGTAAATGTTTGGATTCATTCATCCGTTAATGTAATGCGCTGTGATTTTTGCCACAGGACTATTAAAATCAAAATAAAGGTTGTGAATGACTTTAAAAACAAACAAAAGCGAGTCAAACATGCAGCAACCCAAATACATCATCAACTAGAGGTCCATCCATCAGTTCATTCTCTTAACAGCTGATAGTTTGGGGTCCCAGCAGTCACAGAGGGTCACAGGGCTGACACAGAGTGACAACAAACTCTCACATCCACCTGTGGCCAAATTAAAATCACCCGTCTACATAACCAACATGTTGTGAAACTGCTGTAAGGTTCAGACACGTGTATTTGGTAACGTTACCTTTCCTTTTTTCAATAAGGCTCATTTACATAGTGGAGATTCCTTACTGTCACCACAGCTCTGTGCGACGTGCTGCCACCATCTCTGAACAGGGAACGCTAATCTAAAGAGGTTATGTCCCCAGTTACAACCTGACATTTTCAATTTTGAGTTTCGCTCTAAATCGTGAACCCACACAAATGCAAAAGAGTCTATATGACTCAGAACTGAATGTGTTAATGTGAAGGTGAGACTGACTTTAAAGTACAAAATTAATGCCTGACAGTTTCAGTACCACCAGCTGATGCTGAATCGTCTCAAACTGACACATCAAAATTCTTTCTGGTGAACCTTTATGTTTGAACCCTCCTGGGGGACGACCTCCGCACGGCACGTCTGCTAACGTTGCTAAACAACATTTCTGCTGTGTAATCGGCCACGAAGCCGCTCAAATGCAGATAATAAGTGACTTTGTTATGTCGGCGTTGTCTCTGGTGTTTGTGTGTAGTTAACCTGTCATTGCCTCCCTGTTTTTTTCTCCCCACTGACATTAAATGTTTCTAGAGTCGATATACACCAGGCGTACCTGGAACCACCATCTTACTCACTGTGCGTGACGGCAGACGCTCATCTGCTTTCATGTCAGTCAGCGACTTCACTGAACAGAAAATATTGTTCCAAAGACCAGAAAGTGTTTCATCTGATAAAAGCGACATAATTCTCATTTTAAGCTGAGACTAAATCAAGCAAAAGGGAAAAAGTGATGTAACAGTAACAGTATAGAGTAATAATAACGATGTATCAGAAAGATGTGGGAAGTGATATTTGTGCTAGCAGTGTGAAATCTGTTTCATGGCACTAACTTGACGGTAACCTTTAACCTGTAGCTACAAAAGCTTGAAGAGCTGCACAGTTTTCAGATGGATTTGTTTCAGGACATGAACCAGACCAGAGGAGCAGGAGGCCGACTCCCTCTGAGCAGCATCGCTGCTGTTCACTGGAACAGCAGCAATGTTGTTGGGTTACGATCCACAGACACCCTAACCGCCATAATGTAACGTGTGTGTGGTCCTTCTCAAATAAACCTGAACTGAAGTAAACTTGTGTGTCTGTTTTGTGTTCCCTCAGAGTCTCGGAGGATCCTACTTCCTGTGGTCCTGCATCACATCCACCTGCACTTGAGGCAACAAAAAGAGCTTCTCATCTGCTCTGGAATACTCAGCTCTATATTCTCTATCATCAAGACCAGCTCGCTGGTAACACAGACGCGCACACACACACACACATACACACACGCTCGAAACACCGCTGCATTTAAATCTGAGTGTCATTGTGGGGTTTGAAAGGAAACTTATCCCAGAAGCTAGAAGAAAGAAATCATTCCCTGCTGAGGCCAGTCCTGGCTTTGTTGAAGGTGAACCAGATGGGTCCTTTGTTTTCCCATGAGCCTCTGCTCCACCAAATGTCCGTGCCTTTGCAAGAAAAATAAATCCATGGTTACAGCTGCATATTCAACAAATCAATAAGCACCTTCTGTGTGTTTTCATGATCACTTCTCATTGACCTGAATAAGAAACATCGTGAGGCTAAGGAAGGATTTGAAGGAGAAATCATACAGAGACAAACATGATGTTCAGACTGTGGCTGCAGTTGTGTGATGGTGGTCTTTGTTGGTGTGGCGCTGCTGTGGTTAGGACATGAACAGGAAGCCCACCGTAAATACTTCAGACTTGCTGTTTCATGTGAACTGAACAAACAGAACTTCAATGCTTAGAGTTTTATTGTCATTGTGCAGTTTCTTGCACAGCGAAATTGGGTAGCTGGAGCACAAAGGTGCAAAAGTAAAGAAGAGAAAACACTATACATGTGAGTGAACTACATACATGCTGTATGCAGAGAAACGTTGAAACAGAAACATTGTGGGGCTGTATATATTGAAGGGTGTTGAAGGGTGGTGGTTAGGGTGGAGGTGGTGCTTTATACCTGCTCTGGCTCTGGAGAGACATCTTGAGCTGGCAAGTCCAGGGAGGAGAGTGGACAGCCGATCACCTTCTCTGCAGATCTGATGACCCTCTGTAGTCTTTTCCTGTCAGCACTTCATTTATTAAATGTTTACATGATAAAAAGTTTCACAGGAGGACAAAAACTGCCAACTCTAACAGGAACTTTGTTATTAAAGTAGTGAAACGTTCAAAGTTCCCCTGCAGGCCAAACAAACCGCTGTCAGGTTAAAACATATTAACGGCTCATGAAATGAGTGATGTTCAGTGATGACGCTCTTCTGCTGAAGTCTCTGAAGTATTTGGACACTTTCATCTGATCTGAACTGAAACTGAAACTCGTGAGCACCAGTGAGAAACCAGTGTTTATTTCCACTACGTACTGTGAATGTTTAGTGTTGCAGTGAGCCTTTAGTCAGGTTTGTCCTCTCAGGAGCAGGAATGTGTGAGACACAGCTGCAGCAAAGCTCCTAAAACCTTCCAAATTCATTATTGGACACTAACCCAGATAAAAGTACATGAAACGCACAGAGAGCAGGTGTCCTTATTTCTCTGCTCTGGTTTCCTTTTCTTTATGTCTCCTTTCCTTCGTCTCTTCTTCCAGGACACGTCGGTGCAGGAGGAGGTGGAGATGATGGTGGAGTCCCTGTTGGACGTCCTCCTGCAAACCCTGCTGTCAATCATGAGCAAGAGCCAATCGCAGGAGGCGGTAAGGGGTCAACGCTGTCCGCAGTGCACCGCTGAGATCGCTGTTAGTAACTAACAATACGACTACTACTACGTCACCTCCCGGCCCCTCATCCACCCTGCATCCGTCTGACTGTCTGTCTGCTGTAGGGCAGGGCAATATTATATTCATGTTATAGCTTTGTTGTCCCTGTATACTGTCGTACAGTTACACGACGGCCACAAAATAAGAGACGGGAGATCTGAGAGAAGCGAAAAGTGTTAAAATAAAAATGAAAACTGTTGGTTTTGTCAATATTGCCCTCTCCTACTCCACCATCATCATCACTGACCCATCCTGCTCTTACGTCTCTTTGTGCATGCGTTAAAGACCTTCCATCTTTATTTGTATAACTGTGCAGAACGATATCTTAGTTAAATCACAGATGTGTGAATCTGAGTCGTCTGGGTTCATTTGTATTTTGTAAATTTGATGCATTTTTGTTGACTGTTCACCTTCATTTACATTCATTTCATCTTTGGCTCAGTCTCAGTCTGCTGCCCTCCTGTTTAACCAGGAAGCAAGAATAAATAAAGCAATGAGTCCAAAGAAGTGTTTACAAACTGTTTTTGTTAATATTCTATTTATGTCATTATCAACGATAAATTGATAGTTAAAGTTTAGTAGATAGGTATTTAAAACTTTTATAGAAATTATAATTCATCGTGTTAAAAACGTTCTTGCAACTTTATCGTTTATGTCATGCTTTGGTGTAATGCAGTTCATTTAATGCCTTATTGGTGTCGACGCCACACAGAAAGATTTTGTGAGTTTTTATTTTGGATCAGCTGCTTCGTTCTCCTTCGTCGTTCCTCCTCTCAGATGGAGGCGCCGGCTTTCCTGCAGGGTCTCACTTCACAATCATCATATTTTAATACAGACTACAATCTTTCTTTATCCAGATTAGGTGGTGACAAAAACTAGATTCAAACACGAATCCATCCTCTGAACTTCAGCATTTTAATGCAGTAGATCAACACAGAGGTTTGATGAAGTTTGCGTGAGTGAGAATTATTTAGCGCCCTTTAGAAAAGTGGAGTGAACTTGTATTTCCTCGTGTCTTGCGTGTGGCGCTGCAGATTTATCTTTACATGAAGGCTGGAAAAAGTTACTGAAACATAAAGTGGTGCCAGCAGAGAGGCTGATAAAGAGGGGTCAGTTTGGGAAAGAGCCCGACTCATCCTGGTGCATCACCTCACTGTTGACTCCTTTGTGTTTCCATGCATGACTGTGTCCTGCTTCCTGTTGGCAGGGAGAGTACGTGTCCTGCCTCCTGTCGCTTCTCCGTCAGATGACAGATATCCACTTCCAGCACCTGATGGAAAACTTTCAGAGCAAAGATGAGCTGAAGGTACGGAAGTCCTGACTCACTGTGAAACATGACAACAGGGAGAGGTTTCATTTTTAATCCACGCTCTCGTCTCTTTCCCTCTGCTCAGGAGTTTCTGCTGAAGATCATGTGTGTGTTTAGAAATCTGATGAAGCTCAGCATTTTCCCCCGAGACTGGAACATCATGAGACTCCTCACCAGCAAGTAAGACACCAACTTACCAGACAGGCTGGAAATACACGAGCGTTGACTGAGTCCGATCGCTGCTGGATCACTGGAGTAAATATCAAAGCGATGCATGTGTGTGTTTGTGCAGCATCATCCTGACCACAGTGCAGTACCTCTCTCCTGCTCTGCACAAGAACTTCACAGAAGCCGACTTTGACTTTAAGGTAACGCCTACTTTATCATTTACCTTTAACTCTCAGTTTAGTCTTTATTTCTTAGTTAAATTCTTAATTTATTGTTACATCTGTTAGACCCTTTTTTATTTAACTGCAAATTTTTTACTGTAAATTTTATAAGTCTTGTCAGTTTCTGTAGTTTAGTTTAATGCTCGGGAACAACATGTCGTACTGTGTATGATTATGTGAGTGACAAATAAAATTTTAATTTTGAGTTTGAACTTAACGTCACCCTGTCAGGTGCGCACAAACCACAGTGACTGATAACAGTGGAAACGACCACGTGTAACAAAAAGTGTCTGACAAAGCTGCCGTCCTCCCCTCTCTGAGTGTCCTCACTCCTAACGCTAATGTTGTTTTTCTAAATCATGAATATAATTCAGATTATTTATTTTATATCGTCACTATTTTGTGGTTTCATGAAACAAAGCTGAAACACTGTTAGACTGAACTGAAGCCGCTGATTTACTGAAACAGACGTGAGGCTGAAGTTTTGTAAAATGTCAACTTCATTATGTGAAAACTGACGAGTGCAAAGAGTGAGAGTGAGGGCTGAGTCACTGTGCAAGCTGCAAAGAAAGAAAACGTGGCGTTAGCAGTGTGTGTGTGTGTGTGTGTGTGTGTGTGTGTGTGTGCAGGTGTGGAATTCCTACTTCAGCCTGGCGGTGCTCTACATCAACCAGCCCAGTTTACAGTTGGAAAATTTGAGTCCTGCTAAGAGGAAGAAGGTCTTAGACAAGTGAGGACACACACACACACACACACACACACACACACACACACACACACACACACACACACAC